CTCAGGGACTAATTCGCGTATATACATACAGACGGACGAACGAACATGGCAAAATCGACTCAGCTTGTCACGCTGATCATTTATGTATATATATTCTTTGTAGGGTCTCCGACGATCACAATGTTATTCTATGCGAATATATTATATCTAGAAATTTTTTGGGGGTGTTAATATAGATAGTAAATAATTTTTCATTTTTGTTAAGTATAATATCTTGAAAATATTCTCTGAAAATTTCAATTTGATCCGATAATTACTTTTGGAGTTATTCCATAAATAACAAAAAGCGCTCGGGAGGAGGTAGCTAGTGTTTCTGTACGTAAATCTAGTGTGAAACATTATATGCGTTTTTCTCAAAACTATGTTTTTTGAACTGGTGACAACTGTAACTCGAAAACCGCTCAGTAGATTTTAATGAAATTTATACAGCTTTTAGAATACATAATAAACTCGGGCCTGATCGAAGGTTTTGTTTTTCAAATAAATAAATTTTTTTGATTTTTTGAGATCAATTAACTGTTGATTTTTTCCCAAAAATCTAGAAAAAAATTCCTGAGGCCGCCATTTTGTTAATTTTTGAAAAAAAAGCTTCGCTTAAGGCCAAGGATTATTTATTTATAAAACTAATTTTTTATGCGATTGATTTTAGATGATTCTCTAAGGACTTATGATTGCCACCGCAAGGACCTATTTTTGGAACTGGGTCAACACAGACCGCTATAATTTTGAAAATTAAAAATGTTTTTTTTGAAATTTTCGTGACTTCAAGTCAAAACATTGTACAATAATGCCATATTACTACTTTTGTAAAATAACATGATTTAAGAGCAAAAAAAAATTACTGAAAATTTTCCTTTTTTCGTGCCCCTCTTTTTTCTTCACCGCTAACCCCTTAAAATATCCAGCGAAGGTCTAGAGAAATCGTAATTCTATATGAAAAGTGTTCCTTCAAAAACTAAATCAGAATGCGGTCAGCTGCCACCTAAAAGAAGCTTCAACGAAAAAAAACAGAATGTTTCGCATGAGTGTGACTTGTCCTCAGGCAAATTAATCTAACTTAACCTCTTTTAATGTATGCCGGGTAATGCACTAGATCCACCACTAATTGCAGAAATAGAAAGATTTATGTGTTGATTAATATACATACATATGTAGTATAAGTAAACATATGTATAAATGTTGGCGCATTGTTTGTGCTTGCAAATTTTTTCATAGCTCTGGAGACCAGTTGGCGCAGATGTTTGAGACATCACCTGCATAGTGTCAAAGAAATAATGTGTTGCCATGTGCGCTCGGCAAATAAGGTCAGCAAAAAAAAAACAAAAATAAAAAAAGCTACAGCAATGGAACTTGGGGCTCATTGTCTTTGGACACACACAAAAGATATTGACTAGTTTATACAAAGATTTTTCATTTTTCGTTTGCGGCTCTAAGCTACACGCGAATGGTATTTGCTTACCACTCTGACACTCAGCTTATTTGCGCTTGGCTGAGAGCACATACTGCGCGACTTTACCGCATGCTTCCTTTGGCTAACAGTGCTTGGCATACCTATATAGATATATATATATATATATATAGTATGCATGTATAGATATTTCTTCCCTACTTTACCGTCTCGCAGACTTATACGTGCCTATGTTGATGTGTATGTATGTAATATAAATGTATTTAAGTCTTTTCGAATTGTATGCCCCGCTGGCATGCTTCTTATTGCGCTCCTTTGCGCTTTTGTCTAAGCTAAAATAATTCCTCTAATTTTTCCCACTTTAATTTGAGAACTTTTACGAACTTTACCGCGTTTACTCAATCTGAGCTTTGCCCGTAAAAATGTGGCAAGAGAATGAAAAATGACTTAAGTCCGTAAGTACGTAAGTAGTTAAGAAGTAGTGGGTTGACGTGATGGAAAAAAATAAAAATTGACGAGATTTTCAACTCTAAATGCAGCTTTTAGAATTTCTCCTCATTGCATTTTAAATCTTTTATTTGTTCTATTTTTTTTTTTTAAGTGCAGATAAGTTGAATAGCAGACAGGAGCCACAAGCACTGAGATATGAGCTCCTTGCGTATTTAAGTTCAACATGTCGACCCTACAGCCATGTAGGTATACGGGTCGTATATGTATATATATATATATGTATATTTATTTTTTCCTAACTATAAGCACTTTATCACAGACGAATAGCACGACTTTGAAGTCACATGAAAAATTATTCCGAGTGCGGAGCAGTCACTTTAACTCGTTTACTACATTTACAAGTGAGTTTTATACGCTGCCGGATACAATAAGCTGAGTTCATCGGCTTCTTATATTCTTTTATTTAACGAGTATGCTTTTTACTACTATGACAGTATGTTTTGCACTAAATATATATTTAGAAACAATATGCGAGGGTGCTTTAAAAAGTAACTGAATTTCGATGGGAAATGCTTGACAGTAATCTTTGGTTAAAGATTTTTTGAACGATCCGATTCGATTTCGCACTTTCCGCCTCTCAATTGATACACTTTTTCTGCTCTTCTTCTTTAGAGTTCAAAAAAGATTAACAATGAAAGGAAAACTCTAACTGTTTTGGTTATATATGTATGTAGGCCCTTTGGCACTTCGTATGTTTGATGCAGAGTGAAAATTTCTACAAACTGCTGGTCCAACAGTAAATACTATCAGAGCTAGTTCATTCATATAACTTGTCTGGTAAAACTGGAGTTCGTAAATATATGCGATATTTGACGCTGGCACCTTTCTATTAGGAGAGCTATAAGAATTACTCATAACTTATAGAGTGCCACATCAGTTGGTTGAGAGTAGCAATTTAAATAAGTGGCAACACTAGTTACAAAACAGTTTTAAAATGCAAGATTTGTCAGTTCGATTACATGTTGTTCCACCCAAGCTAGGGCACTTACAACTTAGCGTTTTAGCCCCAAAAGTGGGGTCATTTGACGTTTCAGTTTAGAAGATAAATCGTTCATATTATCTTAAATTCACAATAATAATGAAAATATGCTATTTAAGCCATTTAATAACTGGAAGTAAGAGACACATACACAAAAACGAGGGTGTTTAATGAAATAGAAAACTATAAAATTTATAGTTTTATAGTAAAAATTTAATTTATGACAGCCATAATAATTTCATAACAATTCCAGAATGTTTGTTTAACCCACAATTCATCGATTTTTCTACAATTGTTGACAAAAAGAGAAGTGGTCATCCTCACGTGATTCTAAACAATAAAAACTGTTTGCGAACGCAATTGCTAAAATCTCTTTAGAAAACAAAAAATTATGTCAAGGGAAATTGGTATATGGACCACATCAGTGTCAAGACTTATTCGAGATGATCTCCACATGAAAGCCTACCGGCGATCAACAACTGTTACACTGTTGACTAAGTTTTTTATAAGCAAAACGAAAAAATCTACGCAAAGACTTCCAAAGACACAAAAAATTGTATTCCAAGGGTTCAACGTGGACACCATCCAGCTACTTTATGGTTTGGTAGGGAGTCGCTTGTAAAGGCGTTATACCTCTTTATTTCTGTAAAAAAGGGGTTAAAATAGGAACAGAAGTTTGCCAGCTGGATGTTTTAGAATGCGTGGTAAATCAGTTAAACAACTCTTCGATGGAGAGTATTTGATCTTCCACTAAAGTTCTGCTCCAGCACACAACGCAAAAACCACCCAGCACTGGCTTCAAGGGGTTACATATAGTTAGAATTTTCAAAAAATCGATTTTTATTATTATTTTTTTCTTAATGTTAATATATTTAAGAATACACACAGAAAATTGCATATCGTTCCGGTGAATATTTATGAAGTTACACTCAAATTTGAAAAGGCGAAAAGGTGACCTCTCAGAATGGTGATTTCAAATTCGGTGACCACCATTACTCGCAAACGGCTAAGCCGATTAGTCTCAAACTTTAACACGAGCTTCTTAAATATATTTTTTTAGTAATTAATTGAAGTTTTTTCTCTCCGATAAATATGTTTGTTTTTATAAACAATTACAAGCCGAAATTTCGGTAAAAAATCAATTTTTTTTTTTGAGAAACCGCAATTTTGTCAAAAAATTTTATTTTGGTAATTCTTTCGATTAATTACTAAATTTAACATAACTTTAATGAAATCTGTTTGGTTTTTTAATTTCGGATGATCCAGTTCAGAGATATAGTGGTCACCGCAAAACGTCTTTTTTGAGCGGAGCTCCCCGAGCTGTAGCTCTTTTCCAAATAAATATTTTTACTAGTACTAAGTCTTAAAATATAGTTAAAGGATACCATAATATGTGTATAAATTTTTGGATCAATAAATTTAAAAGTTTTTTCGGAAAAACTTCTGGAAAATTCACATTTTTTCGGCCTTCTAATTGTATATAACCCCTCAAAGCAATATTCCTGGTTTTATAGCTGCAGATGATTGGCTTATTTGAATGCATTAAACTACTGTTTATGGTCAAGGTTGAAAAACATGGCCAATCATACATCCTACGGAAATTTGGGTAGTCTCAAAAAATTTTTTATTCGAGCAGCGATGTCAATACCAATAAAAACTGTGCGCGCTGTATATCGTAAGTATATCGTGTTGTCTATATCAATAAATAATACCGGCATATGCGGAATACCAACACGACAGAGTAATGTTTGGGAAAAAATTTTAAATGTGGAAAACCTGTAAAAGAATCTTAGTAATTTATTGAGGCATTCTAATTAGACTATTGACTTGACTTGAATAATCCTTCTTTGACCAGTGAAAATCAAGTTATATAGCGTATCAAGGACAAACGTATTGTTGAACACAGGAACCATTTTGGTTTATTTTTAACAATATACTCTGGACATAAGACTAAGACTATAAGACTTAAGTAAAGTTAAGGACTTTGACTGGCATTTTTGAATTTCATTAATATGACAAATATTTACCATTCATTTTAAACTAAGTATAAAATATGTTATAATAAATAAAAAAAAAACAACAAATAAAATTAAATACACTGACCTTGATTTATTGGCTTATATATACTTAGGCTGTTTTAAATGTTATAAAACGAGTTCATATGGAAATTTTAGTTTATCCCGAAACGCAAAAAGTTTTTAAGCTGAAATGGTACAAATAAGATAAATTGTATTAGAAGAAATAATATAATTTGCTTTATTTATCAGAAAACAGGAAAAAACTTAGGTTGCACCCGAGCTAAAATACTCTTCACAACAATAGTTTCCATGCAAAAATTTGATTTTGATCGGTCAGTTTCTATGACTGCTATATGTTATTGTTGGGGAGAAAAGAACGTGTGTACAATTTCAAATCGATATTTCATAAACTAAGGGACTAGTTCGCGCATAGCATATATAGACGAATCTGGCTAAATTGACTAAAGATCGTATGTGCCCAAAAGTTGAAAATTCCGACTCGTTCTATAGTGATTAGCCATTAAAGTGTGTAGCTCTCCTTCACGGCCTTCAGGTACTATTTTTTCAAACGTTTTGCTCTCATAACGATTTTCCTTATTTTCCTCTTAGTGAAACTAAAATCTTTTTAAATATGTCGAAAAGCTTAGGAAATTTGGGCAGAGATCATGCTAAATGTACCAAGAAGCATTATATTCCGACACACAGCCACAATTTTGGCAGCATGCAGTAACTTTGGGCCGCCAATAGACCTGGGCAGAAGCTGATACTGCTAAGGGAACAAGGTTGCAAAGAGCAGGCTAAGGAGAGCCTCAAATGAACTTTTGAATTCCAATAAAAACGAATTTTTGTCTTGCGATCCATTTAACATTTTGGACATTACGCATTTCTCGTTTGGTTGGGACAACAACAGAGATCAACTATAAAATATTATCCAAGCCAATGAGTTTCCGCTTATACAGATTTCGAACTACACTTAAACCAATCAACTAACTAGCCTCGTAAAGTTGAAACTCTGTTTTTGGAGAAAAAACATCGGAACTGTACCTATTTTATTCAACTTTATTACACAACTTATGAAAAATTACCGTAATTTTCACCTATACTTGTATAGTGCATTATGTATGCATACACATACACATAGGTACGCACATCTACGCATTAAGTGCAGACTAGTATAATTTTTCTACTTTCAAATTTTGGCTTTATTTTGCTCGTAAGTCATCGGGCATTACTTGCATTATTTCACCTTTTTTTTGTTCTCATTTTAGTTATGTGCAGTTGGCTGATATGACAAAAGTCTATTACATGAAATTTATGAGCATTTTCGTGACATTCAAGAAATTATGGAACTAAGCAGAAAGAAAAACAGTGTCATATTCGGGGAAGAACAAGAAAGCAAGGTAATATAGAAATGGATGAACATGCATAAGTTTACTGAAAAAGACAGACTAGCCTTTTTTGGATGTATGTAGATATACAGTTAGCCATACATATATGTAAACGAGTAGGATAATATAAGATGCCCAAGGTTTCACCAAGCTTCAAACTTATCATTTTGTACGGTGATGTACAGAACTAGTGGCATTTTTACACTTGAAGGATTTGCAGCGACTCTCCGTTCACGGCAGATAAATTAGTTGTTGGATTACGACAAGCAGCTGAAGCTAGTTGTTGGAAGGACAATAGTAGTGTGTGCTATTCGACTCAAAGGTTCACTGTTAATGTTACAAAACTATTCACTTAGAGAAGAAGAAAGCTAACGTCATATAAAACGGTTTAATTAAGAGCCCGACTTAGAAAAAAAACTGGAATCTCTTTTACAGATCTGAACGATTTGTTCGGAGATTGTACTGTTATCTTGGTTATCAAATTTTGTGAATATATCTTGTCAAATAAAAAAAGTTTTCTCTACAAGCACTTAGTTCCGAACGTTCAGTTTGTATTGCAGCTATGTGCTATAGTCGTCCGATACCGGCGGTTCTGCCAAATGAGCAGAAAAAAATGAGAAAAAGGCACATGCAAAATTTCAAATCGATATCTCAAAAACTGAGAGACTAGTTGGCGTATATACAGACAGACTAACAGGCCGACGGACGAACAGACGCACATGGCGAAATCGACTCAGCTCGTCAAGCTGATAATTTATATATATTTTATAGGGTCTACGATGTTTCCTTCTAGGTGTTACAAACATCGGGACAAACTTAATATACCCTGTTCAGGGTATAACAAATATTCTCGTTGAATATGCGACGCATCTCGGTTCAATGTGAGGAACTATGGCGCTTGAAACTCCAAAGCTCGCACAAGGGTTCATGTCGTTAAATATACTGCCGCCACCCATTACCTTAATGTAAGCGTTCAATGTCTTCAAGGCCATGGTTCAACATGCGGAAATCACGGTAACTTCTTAAACTGATATAGAGTTTTTGTGTAAGCAAAAATGTCACCTGTATTTATATCATACGTATACGTATCGCTTCTTCCTAGAATAGTCAGCTTTTGTTAAGATAAAGTATATTTGTATTTATTTATCCCTTTGAACCAAAATAACAAACTTGAAAAGAAGGTATGTTAGTATTTCTCCGTTTCTTAATTCATTATTACTGCAAAATACTCCAACGTTGCCACCTTTGTTGTACAATATATATAATTTCCTAGAGGGATAACTGTTAACCAAATGTCAATGACATTTGAGGTCTATAAGCTTTGGCAAATTGTCAGGCAAAAGACCTATATACAAGTATCAATTCTCGACTTTATGGTTCTACACGCCAATATACATATATCCTTTTCACTTTATTGAGACGAACTTTTGCTGATTATTTTTGGCGGATGTATGTACATCAAGTCAAATTTCTTTTGCCAATAAATTTAAATTTAATATTTATAAAAGTTTCCGTTTACTTTCGAACACACCTCACATTTGCACCAACAAAAAGTGAAACAAAATCATATACATAATTTTTGTGATTCTCTCTTTCAGCAAACAGCGCGACCTTAACCTTAAACACCGCAACTTTTAATGAGCAAAATTAAGTTAAAGCTTTTTAATAAAATTAACGCATAATACATATAAAGTCTAGAGATTCAGAATTTAAAATGTGGGCACGAGAGGAAGCAGGTGCTAATTTTGGACCACAACAATGGATATTTAAAACACTTACAACAAAGTAAAATTAAACGAAAAGCGAAAAAGCAAGATGCAACAACAAAAACACTCATTTTTAATTAAGCACCACAGACGATGCCACAAATTGTTGAAGCTTTTAACAAACACGCACACACATATATACATACACAATGTATATATATATATATACACTAAGGGGGGAATACGTGGCTTTAGACAAGTGCTTATGAAGTAAGTTAAGCAATGGCAGCGGCGACTGTCGACGAGTTTTGCGTACTTTTGGCAACAACAACAACAATGGGGAAATGCCAATGCTGCCGTTAAACGTGCAACAGCACCAAATAACAAACTCAACTCAGCAGCAAGAGCAGCAGCAAACTAACTAACTAACCAACTAACAAACTATGTAATATATATTTGTATATATGTATGTAAGTAGGTATGAGTGTGAGTTCCTGTGAAGTATGCGACGAAACTTTAACCAAGCAAGATAGGCAAAATAAAGTGGTGCGGGTTGTGTGGCAAATTCAATATACCTACCATGAAGCTACCATTATGTGTGTGTGTGTGTGTGCGTGCGCGTGTAACGAGAAGTACAAGACTTTTGGCCTTGTTAAATTTCTGAATATGAAATAATTGAAGGCAAGTATGCAGCAACAAAAATTTATCTCACCCACCAAACCCACTGTCACCCACACACCAAACCACAACCTCCAACACAATATCAAGCAGGAATTGCTGGCATTTGGTTGTTGTATTCAAAATATTATATATAGTATTTGCTGAATTTTACTTGTGTTCTTTTTTGTTGCTGCTGTTGTTGGGCATAGTCATCGAAAAGTTAATTTCCCAAAAACATGGCAATTAGTGTGCAAACCCTACTATATACCAAATGTCCAGCTAGTGGCAACCACCAACAACCACAACAACAAAAACAACAACCTCAACAACAATATTGCTGGCAATAAAGCACTACGAAGCTTACAAGTCATCTGACTATGGTATATACATACAAGTCTGTATGTATAGTCGTATACCAAATCGCCTCTCCATTGAATTCGGACCAACTTTCGTCAAACCACTCAGCATTTACCACAACTACTCATCAATTGCCACAACACAAAAAAGGTCTTTGTTAGCGGCGGAGAGAAGTGAGAAAAATTGTGATGCGCATTCCGTTCGCACGCCTACACAAAGCCACAGGTATTCTGGGCTCGAAGGGTATGAATATTGAAAAAATGTGTGTGAGTACACTTATGTACAAGTATAAATTTGTACAGAGTCTATGTTATGAGAATGAGTGGCATGAATGTATTGTATGATGAAAAAATTCATAAACTTCAATAATTGTCAGACTGGAACGGAAAATATTAGGCTCTGACGGCAAAGGGGATGGACCTTTTTCTACTTTGCTGGGCGCTTTTGGCTAGCACTTTCGATTTTCGACGTGTTAACTGCATCATGGTTGATATTGCCCCTACAAAGTGGAGTTGGATTCGATATTGTTCTGCTGTAATTATCGCAACCAAGTTCGTCAACATTAAGATCCATCGAAAAAATTTCTCTATCAAGTTCATGGATGTACGAAATTCATTAATGTTGGCGTGCATCTTAAACTCGATATCTGTGAAGCACTGTGACGAACTAGACCCTCGCTATAAATAGAATACCCCTTAATTGCCTTACATACTAATGTACTCTCAAGAGACTGTCCTAAATCAAAAATATGTCTAAATGCGCAGATCTCGAGGATAGGACAGTTAAAGCATCGGTCCCTTTTGAATCGCAGGTATTGTCTGGACTTTTGGTATCAGATGGATAAAATAATAACTTACTTTGTTGGCAGATTTACGAGTTCTACGGCGGGTTTGTTTGCATGTGTCGAGGATTCGAGGACAAACTGAAAGTCACACGGATTTCAACACGTCTCATCATTATGATTATTTATATATATATAACCCTATATTAGACTCGATTTTTAGGTACAAACAACCGTTAGGTGAATAAAACTATTATACCCTATAGCAACATGTTGCAAGAGAGAAAAAACAA